AAACCATCCCCCCAAATGCATATAACCAAGGTCCAAACCCCTCAACAGTTCCAACACAATGACACAGTGACTGCTCCTCCTTACTCTTTCACCCAACTGGCAAAGCAGCACTTAACCATCACACCCTGCTTCCCTCAGGCACAGACATCACATACCAATAACCAGCATAACTAAAAACATAGCACTACCTGCTGAAAAAGAAAAATATGAGCATCTCACTTCCAGTTGCTTATCTAGATTTTTTTAAAGCACCACAAAACATAAGAAATTATTTATAAAGTGGAAAACAGGTCAATGAATAGACAGAGGAATATATCATCAAGCAACTTGAGACTTCTGAGTAATGATATCACAAGGAGAGAACATCTGCTCTTTAGAAAACAAATGCAAAACATGAAACATTAGGACCTAATGGAAAGAGAATTTAAAACGAAGAAACTCAAGAGATAGCAGAAAATTCAGAACAGCAATTTGCAAATATAAGAAAACCCAGAAGAGTAATTCAGTGAGCGTAAGAGGAAAAAACAGGAGGAGGAAAGTGAAACTATAAGAAAACATTCAAGATGGGAAGAATTCAATATTGAGTATTATGGAAAAACTTGGAAATAATACTTGAAGAATTAATCTCTGAGATCAAATATTGAAACTAGAAATGGTTCAAGTGGAAGATAAGAAAAAAGATACAAAAATAAAAAATGCTATAAGAACTACAGTTAGGGTACATAAGGCAAATGTACCCTAGAAGGTAAAGAAAGGAACACAGGTTATTCAAACAGGTGATAAATGAAAAATTGGAAACTGGGGAAGGAACCAAATAAACAAGTGCAGAAAGCTCACATAGCATCTGGTTATTTTTTTCTGAGTGAGGAAGGATATGAGGGTTCTTCCACAGGCCCCTTCCTGTGTTTCTTGACCAACTGGGTCTGCAGTTGAATGTAAGACTCTATAATGTGGGAGATTACCCCAGGTACCCTTGTGGTGCCTGGTGGTTTTAGGCCTCTGGAACTGCATCTCACAAAACCTGGAGAGCCAGCAGCATAACAAGCAGGCATTTAACCCCTGTGCCATCTTTTCAACCCCACATTTGGTTGTCTTAATGCAAACACTGTACAAATATTTTTTAGGTGGGGTCAGACCTCACCTGGCTATGCTCAGAGGGGCTCTGTGCTCAGGGATCATTCCTGGCAGTGCTTGGGAAAACTATGTGGTGACAGAGAAGGGACCCAGATTAGCCAATTTCAAGCAAGCACATTCCTTACTGTACTAGCTCTCTGCAACACCCTACCCTCTCCCCGCCCCCCCCAAAAAAACCCTTATTAACGAAACTGGTATGAGTTTGTGTGTCTGTGTCTGTGAATAGAATAAAGTCCAGTGCTTCACACATGCAAGGTAAGTGCTCTACCACTGAAGTACATGCTTAGCTTGATTAGTGAAACTCAGGAGTCAAGACGGAATATTACATGCAGTTAATCGGTTGGAGGGGATAAAGCAAGTAACAGTATAAAAATGATATAAAAACTCCATCTGGCTTCAGTCACCATGTACTCTCTCACCTTAGTTCTATACCATAAGCTCTTCTAACATGGTCTGGTTGAAGAGATCATTAAGTGAATCACTTTAAGCCAATAGATACACTGTGTCTGAGTTCCTAAATTGATCCACCTCCCAGATATGAGATAAATAGCATCTCAAAACTAACTCATATTGGAAAAGAAAATGATAAAGACTGTTACAGGAGAGGATTGTGAAAAACTACTATAAAAAGCAAAAGCAGGATGAGCAGTATCATAACAGGTATGGGCATTTGTCTTGTGCATAACACCAGTTTCTATCCCCTTCATCCCATAAGATTCTCCACCAGAATTAATTCATGAGTGCAGAGCCCAGGAATAAGTCTTGAGCACCAAATAAAAAATAAATAAATAAAACTGGACTTGGGGTGGGAGAGATAGTATAGTGTGCAGGGTGTTTGCCTTGCACAAAGCTAACATGAGTTTGATTGCCATCATCCCATATGGTCTCCTGAATTCTGTCACCCCAGATGGCCTCCCAAACTCCCAAGTGGTTCCTGAGCACAAATCCAGGAATAAGGTCACTGCTGGGTATGGCATGAAAACAAAAACAACAAAAAAGAACTATGTCCAAAGGAAAACTAAAGACCTTGAGACACCAACCCAGGTGACATTCTGGTTACTTACATTGAGTGAGGACCTATGGGAAATACAAGATATTTATTTTAAATAAACTAAAAAGTATTATATGGTCCAGCGATTCCACTCTCATCTATTCAAAGAATGAAAAAATAAAAATACATATGCTGATGTTCATTGCACATATGTTCAACAGTCATGATCTGAAAACAACCCAAGTACTCAATGATATATGGGATAAAAAGATGTGGTATATATTAACTATGAAATACAATTCAACTTGTAAGAAAAGGTGAAATTCTACTTTTTGCTACATGAGATGGAAGAAAGTCATGCTAAATGAAATGTCAGATGAAGACAAATACAAGATAATCTCATCATATGTGATATATAAGGAAACAGGAATAGATAATGTCCAGTGAAAACAACTCTTCCACTGATTTAAGAATGTGTTTATAGGGAAAGGGTGGGTGTGGGGGATTGAAGCTGGGTCTCCTGCATGCAAAGCATGTGCTCCATCCCATGGAGCTCTCTCTAGCGCACAGCAGTCTTGTTTTAAAAATTTTCTATAGCCACATAAGCCTTCAGAAAACATTACCATGATTGGACAATAGTCATCAAAATCATTGAGGCTAGAACTGCCACCAACAAAAAGAATATGCCTTGCTAAAACTGTAATAATGGTTAGTATTTTTCAACAATAAGGCATTTGTAATGAAAATATATGAGTCCTTTTAGAAACAATGATTTGTATATAAGAGATGGCAGTTTTTATGCCCTGGAAAGTAAAAATATCCTTATGCTTGCTTTATTGTGACAGTCACTATTTTTTATGGTGGCCTAGATGAGATCTGCAGTATCTCTGAGGTGTGCCTGTATCAATAGAGGAAAAGTAATGTCTTCAATAAATGATTCTGGAATAATTGGATATTCACTTATAAAAGAATGAAACTAGATCCAGAGCTTACACCATTTATAACAACTGAAATGAAATGGATTAAAGACTTGAATGTTAGAATGAAGAGGAAATGCCTTGAAAACCTAAGAATAAGACTGACTTGAGTATTGTTAATGATTTTGTGTAATGCTGCCTAAAACACAATTAAAATTTTTTGTACGAAGCAGGATATCAAACAATGGGATGAATATTAGCTGAACCATATATCATAATTACAATACCTGTGTTTCAAACCATGCTGTATGCCTTATAATGATGTATGTCAATGATTTCTCAATAAAACTGGAAAAAGGTATAATTCCCTATTCTTGCTGGCTTTAGGACTAAGTGAATAATCTGATAAAAAGATCAACTTTTTTTAAAAAGTGTTTTTATTTTATTCTTTTTTTATTTTTGCATTCTGAGTTACACCCTGCGATGCTCAGGGGTTTACTTCTGGCTTTGCCCTCAGGAATTGCTCCTGACTCAGGGGACCTTATTGGAGTCAAAGACTGAATCTGGGTTAGCTGCCTGCAAGATCCAAATCTAGCCCTACCTGCTGTACTATCGCTCAGGACACTCAAGATGCTTTTGAAGATAAATTATGTAACACCTAAATAAGCAAGGTTTACTTTGTAGAAGGGTCACATGACCAATAGCATGTAAATTCTTTCATTTGACTTATAGATTCTACACACCTCTAACAACTAACAAAAAGAACCACCTAGCTTTTAACATATTTTTTTAAAGTAAGGGGGCCAGAGCAATACTAGGGTGGTTATGGCGCTGCTTGCCTTGTATGCAGCCTACACTGGGTCGACCCCCCCACCACCACCAACCCCCAGCACGCTAGGAGTAATTCCTAAGAGCATCGCCCGGTGTGGCACAAAAGAAAAGCAACTAGATCATAAAACCATAAAGGCTCAAACAGTTTTGAAAAAAGAACAAGACGAGTTCGAATCTAATTTCAAGATTGATAAAATGACAGTCATCGACGATCTGGTATTCCAAAACCTTTGTAACATGGAACAGAATGAGACCCATTAGCCCCACAAAACAATAAGGGCGGCTCATTTTTGAGAATAGCAAACGCAACTTAGGGGGGAAAGCAAAGCTCTTTCAATAAGAGTTTTTTTTTAGTACTTGAGTCTGCGGTTACTAGGCCCGCTCGAGCAAATCGATGAACAACGGGAGAACCGTGACCGTGACCGAGTCTGCGGTAGAAGGGGGCAGTGATAGCTGTGACAGAAGGGTAGGACACATTTGCCTTTCACGCGGGTCGCCGACGCGGGTTCGATTCCTCCGCCCCTCTCGGAAAGCCAGGCAAGCTACCTAGAGTATTCCGCCCGCAGGGCAAAGCCTGGCAAGCTACCCAGTGAGGTATTCCAAACGCCAGAAATAGTTAACAAGTCTCACAATGGAGACATTACTGGTGCCCGCTGGAGCAAAAATCGAACGATGGGAGGACAGTGCTACAGTACTTGGGTCTACGCGATAGTACAGACAGTAGGGCATTCGCCTTGCATGGGGCTGACCGGGGTTCCATTTCCGCCACCTCCTTAGTCCCCCCTCGGAGCTCTACAGGGGTGATTCCTAAGCAGAGCTAGGAGTAAGCCCTGAGCACCTTTCCCGGGCAAAAAAGGGGAGGAAAAAGGACAAAAAAAAAAATCTTTGAGTACTCAGTACGCAGCTTCCATATCGAAAAACTCAGAAGGAATCACAGATCTAAACAACCCCCCCTCTACAACCTATAACAAACAGCTGGACGAGGTCCCAGGTGAATGGATCTCGGGCAGGCAAGCCCCGGGAGCCACGCCCCCCGCCCGCTCCATTCGTCCAGCCGGGCGAGGCCCCGCCCCCGCCCCCGCCCCCGCCGTCCCGAGGCGGCCGGTGCGGAGCGCGCACGCCCACTTCTCCACCCGGAAGAGCCGCCCGGGCTGCGAAGTTGAGGCGGCGCCGAGGCGCGTCCTACGTCGGGAGCGCGGGCTCTAGGCAGCCGCCCGCCCCAGCGCCGCTTGGGCCCGGGCACGCGGCGGGCCCGCCCGAGTCTGCGCGCCGCCAACAGCCCCGCGCACGCGCCCCGCCCCTGGTGGCGTCCTCGCGCCCCCGGCCCTACCGCCGGGCCGGAGCTTGCCGTGCCCCTTGGCTTCTGAAGCAGCACGCCTCCGGGGACTCCTACCACTGCGTACTGGCCAGTAAGTGACAGCCGCTGATTCGTTTCATTTTTTTTTTCCTCCCACAGTTGTCCCCGCCCCTCCCCCCAGCGTCGCCCACTTCTGATTTGTTCCAAAACTATTCAGCTCTACGACCGGTCCGGCGACGAAGCTGCCTGGGAGCCCAGCTCGGAAGGTGAACCGCCTTGCCGAAGTGCTGTCAGGCAGCGGCTGTGTCCAGAGCCCGGAGGGTGCAGTGCAGTTCTGCAGGCTGGGCTGGGCTCTACGGTTGCGAGGGCCGGCAGCGATCCAGGCGGGTGGGCGGGCGGGCGGAGAACTGGCGGGCCCGGAGGACGCGCCGAGCTGACGCCGGCGCGCGGGAGGGGGCGGGCGCTCGGCCGCGGGGGCGGGGCGGGGCGAGCGGGCGGGGGCGGGGCGAGGGCACAGTCCCGCCCAGCGCAGCCCCGCCCCTCCCAGCCTGGCGCTCTCTAGCTTGGGAGTCGCTGGCCAGCATCTTTTTCCCAGCGATAACTTCCAGAATCCCTCGTGACTTTTCTTGGCGGGTAGTTTACATTAACAATAAATGTTAGTAATATGAGACTGATACCCAAGGACAGGAGAGGCAAGGGCTAGGGTTTCCGCGATTGGAAGCCTGCCTCATGAGCGAGGGTAGAAGGCAGCTGGAATAGAGAAGGGATCACAAAGTCAGTGATGATTGGAGGAATGGTTCGGGATGGGAGATGTGTGCTGAAAGTAGATAAAGAACCAAATGTGAAGGCTTCTCATTATCTCTATATTGCAAGCCATAATGTCCAAAAGGAAAGAGAGAGAGAGTATGGGGGAAATTGTCTGCTGTAGAGGTGGGGAGGGGGACGCAGGATACTGGGGACATTGGTGGTGGAAAATGTGCTTTGGTGGAAGGATTTGTGTTTGATCATTGTACATTATACAGTGACTGAAAACTCAACGTGAAAGCTTTGTAACTGTCTCATGGTGATTCAATTAAAAAAATGTTAGGAATGATAAAGGCATGAAATTTGTGGCAACATGGATGGAACTAAAAGACAGGTTAAATGGAATAATGTAGAAGAAAAAGGACAAACGCTGGATGATATCACTTACACATGGTATTTAGAATAACCATATTAGGGAATGCAATGTGTTAAAAGAGGGAATGCCCTGATCAATCTTGGCCCCAGAATATAAGGAGAAGGGAAGAAATATGGGAAGGGAAAGGGATAAGACAGATGAGAACCAGCAGGGACCAGGACAGGAAAACCAGGTATTAATAGGTGATAGAGACAGATATCCAAACCACAGAGAAAACAACGCTGAAATCAAGAGACCCGAATTTTAACAACCAAACTTTGGAAGGTGCCTGTCAGAAGGGTAGGCTGGGAGGGGATTGAGGGAGGGGAGTTGAAACCTGGGAACATTGATGGAGGGAAGTTAACACTGCTGGTGGGATCATTTCTACAATATTGTATGTCTAAAACTCAACTGTGTATAACTTTGTAAATTACAGTGCTTTAAAAAAAAGGTGGAAAAAATTTAAAAGTACAGGGCTTCATTTTGACCATATTGTCTTTTAAAAAATGGTGATGAGGGAGAAGGAAATTTGAAAGATGTCAAATAGTGTTAGCAGTTTGTATTTGTCCTGGGGCGTTTATAAGGCTAGCAAACTATTTAGAAGCAGTTGATTAGGTGGTTTGAGGCCACACCCCTGACAGGGCTCAGGGATCACCCCTGGTGGTGTTAGGAGGATCTATGAAATTGCTGGCATCAAAATATATCAAAATTTGATTCGACCACAGTTTGAACCATGAATTCTATGAGTACATTCTTCCAACCCTATCTGGTAATTGTTAAAATCTTAAGAGATTCTCTTGTAGCTAGGCTTGGCAGTACAGTTTTTTCCTTTGTTTGACAATGAATAAATAGCATAGATTAGTTTAGTTCCTTCCCAAACTTTTTTTTGATAGTACTTAAACAAAATGAACTACTTACTCATATTGTGCCCTTAATTTCTTTTTATTTTTTTATTTTTTTGCTTTCTTTGGGTCACACCTGGTGTTGCACAGGGGTTGCTTCTGGCTCATGCACTCCCAGCGGTGCTCAGGGGACCATATGGGATTCTGGGGATTGAACCCGGGTCGGCAGCGTGGAAGGCAAACGCCCTATTTGCTGTGCGATTGCTCCAGCATCCCCTTAATTTTCATTCATTCACTTGGATATACATGCAGTTTTCTCTTCTTAGCCTGTGATATATTTTCCCAATTGCCTTCTCACCTACCAGGATAGTTTGTGATCAAAGAAAACAAAATAATTGCTGATAAATAACACGTGTAGCACATATTTAGGATGCTAAGCTATCAACGTAATATTTTTTTTTAAGATTTTAGGCCACATGTAGCTGTGATCAGGACTTACTCCTGGCTCTGCGCTCCCATGAAAGGCAGGTGTCCTACCCACTGTACTGACTCTCTGGTCCCTATCATATTTTTTTAAAATCACGTTTCTGTGTATTACTAATTCAGCAGCAAGCCCTGAACACACCCAGGTGTGACTCCAAAAAACAAAGATTTGAATTCCAATAATATTTTGACCATATACTATCTTTCAAAGTGAGAATATTCATAATCCATTATTTCTCTGTAAGACTAGCAATCCCAAGATATAATGATTGTATCTTTTTCTTTACCTAGATTCAAGATGAATAATGATCAAGTTACATTGGTTGGACAAGTGTTTGAATCCTATGTTTCGGAATACCACAAAAATGATATTCTTCTAATCTTAAAGGAAAAAGATGAAGACAGTCATTATTCAGTAGTGGTTAATGCCATGACCCTTTTTGAAACCAACATGGAAATTGGCGAATATTTCAATGCATTTCCCAATGAAGTACTTACTGTATTTGATAGTGCTCTACGAAGATCAGCCTTGACAATTCTCCAGTCCCATTCTCAGCCTGAGGATATCTCCATGAAGCAGAATCTTCATGCCAGGATATCAGGTAAATTACATAAGAATTTTACTACCATTTCATTTTCTAAAGTGATTTTGAGAAATAATAACTCATTCTGAATTCAAAATACTTGGAAATTATTGGGATTCATATTTAAATGTATACCTATTATGTGGCTGATAGTCATTATTAGGGCAGAATATTGATGGGAGGGTGTTATGGGGAGGTTGAGAGGACTTTCAGAGGATGAGGGCCTTGCCACTAAGGGAAAGGAGAATGTGGAAGCAACAGTACACTTGTGTTCCTATATACGTGTGTGAACAAGCAGTTTTATGAGCTTTTGCAACTGCTGACAAAATAATTGATAATATAACAGATTATGAACTATTCCCTGTCATATATTGATAATAGGAATAATTAGATATGTAAATGCTTCTGCCTGTCTTGGAAATTATTTTGAGGAGGCTTCTGCCTGGCAAAGGTGGCCACACTCTCCTAAAGCTCTGGGTAAATTTTTCTTAATGCTGTCATAGGGCCTGGAAAGTGTTGCCATGTGGCAGTTTTCTCCTGCCATTTGCCAAATCATCTTTCTTATTTTATTTTTTTAAAGTTTTATATTTTTATTTATTTATTGCATTTTGGGTCATACCCAGTGATGCACAGGAGTTACTCCTGGCTCTGCACTCAGGAATTACTTCTGACAGTGCTCGAGGGATTATATGGGATGCTGGGAAACAAACCCAGGTCTAACGCCTTACCTGCTATGCTGACACTCCAGCTCCCAAATCATCTTTCTATTGGCTGTCCAAGTGTAGTAACTCTCCCATACTGAACTCTCAGTCCGGGTCCCAATAACCTGGAAGGGGCTGGGGTAGTTGCATAGAACGAATTGGTGTCACAGTACTTGGAGAGTGCTGAACACTGCCTGGGTACCCAAGACATTGGCAATACTATTGCCCACTGCCTCATCCATGTACTTCCAAGCATTGGAGCTAAAGAAAGCTGTAAAGAATGAATGAACTTTAGAGATGATGCAGCCACTGACTGTCATAAAGAAGTGAAGCCAAATCCTGATTTAGTGGTTTCAAGGAGAGCTTTGATTGTATTGTCAGTGGAAATTTATCATGTATATTGACACTAGAAGGAATGCAGTTTGTAATGTTTTCATTTTTCATTTCATCATCCTGTTATTCGTCGATTGCCTCGAGCAGGCCCCAGTAACGTCTCTTTCATCCTAGCCCTGAGATTATATTCAGTTTGTAATGTAGCCATCCAAAAAGCTGTTTGTGTAAGGTCCAAAGTGTTTTGAACATTGGAACAGGAATACTGGAGCAGAAAATTTTGTATATGTTTGTGAGTTATCCAAGACCATGTGTGAACCTGGCATGTATGAACCTCAGCAGCAAACAAGATGTAAACAGAAATCCAAAGTCTTACAAAATTACTGGACATAGAAACTCTGAAATGCATTTCTGACAGAGTATCCCTGGTTGTAACAGAACTCTTCACACAGGTTTATTTGGAGAAGGAGTTGTGGGAAGTTTTATTCATACATGGGAGCATTTACTTTCACTATCAAAGACTACAGGTAGACATGATAATTGTGAAAATTTTGGGAAAGTTAACCAGCAAGTCCTGTGATGTATGGCATGACAGCAGATTTCAGAGATAAGAAGACATTATTGAGTGGATAAGAAGTACCTTGGTGGCATCTCTTTGTCCACAAATAAAAAATTTCAGAGCCCAACTTACTCTTCTACAGATACTGACAAGACAGCTAAGCCTTATACAGCTGAAAAAAATAAGTATACTTGGTGTTGACAGATACTTTTGATGTTGTAGATGGGATTTCAACAATATTCAGGTTAAATGTCTTGCATCTAAAAAGACTTATAAAGTTGGTATTCCTGTGATTAAAGAAACCAGCCTACCAAATGCTGTTGCAGTTTGGGTTATACTGTAGCTTGATTATGAGCACAGTTTATCCATAACTCCCAGTGAGGGAACAGGCTACACTGTACTAGACCTTGCAGACAGTTTGATAAAGCTTGAGTACCATGTGGCGATAGAGGTGTCATGTCAAGATTGTGACTTCTGAATCCAGATCCTGAGTCTTCAGAATATGAAATGGATGTTGGCACATTTTTCACAAAGGATAAAGACTTCTTTCTCTAGCACATGAGGTTGAACTCTAGTGTCCTGATGATTCTTCACCAGTAAACCAGATTCTTTGCAACAGACCTGTGTAGTGGAATCAACAGAAATTGCTTTGTTTACTAGCATCCTATGTCCTGAAGGCTTTAAAATGGCCACCAGCAAAGTGTTTCAATCACTAACCCCAGAAAAACCATGTGAAGTTATGCACAATCATTGTCAGAAGAGTGAACAGGATTTCACTTAAGAGAGTGCTCCCTGAGCCTTTGTATGTATCATATGTATACAAGGCTACTTTATTCTTTCTATAATTGTTGACATACTTGAACCTTTAATTCTGTGGTACAATTAAAACCAGCTTCACATTACCCTGGGCCTCATATCTGAGAATCAAAGACAGAATTAACCAATATGGACTTATATCCAGCTATTTCAAAAGGTGTTTTGTTCTTTTACCAATGAATGATTTAGGAAGAAAAAGGTTTTGATTTCCAATAATAGTTCCCTAGTGCCTAATATAACCCTCCTCTTTGATAGAATAATTGAAGAACATCACAATATTTATAGTAAGACGGAAAAATTAAAATAACATTCTTCCAACACACTGTTTCAGAGCCATTTTTAGTACTGAGATTTTTGGTTGTATGTGACATATGTACTGTGATTTTGATTGTATTCACACTCTATATCACGTTAGTTGCCTTTATATTGTAATTTGCTTAAAATTGATATAAAAGAAAAGAATTTGAAGATCCAGAAATGGACTTATGTCTGTTATCCTTTTCTTACTATAATATGCTTTACAGTATATAACAAACTGCTTAATCTGGGCTACAACAGCAGGTAGAACACTTGCCTTGGACATGATCAATTCAGGTTGGATGGTGAAAGTTGGATCATGAAAGTTGGATGGATGAAAATTCACACATTATGAATCATACGTTAGGAGCAACACAGGGCATCGGTGGGCACCTGACGACCCTAGGAGCTGAGCCCTGCCTCCCTCCACTTCCCACCCTGCAGCACTTCACCATATGCTCACTGAAATTAAACCAGTTTTGTGTAACCTTGTCGTAATCCAGCAAGCATAGGAAGAAAAGGAAGGTGTCCACAGAACAAAGGGATACCTTTAATTTTACTTTCCGTGCCAGACATAAAAGGCATCATTTTTTTCTTTACATATGGTTTATAAAGAGACATAGTGAAGAAATAACTAAGGCTCCAAAGCAGCAGAAATTAAACTGGTTTTGAGGAGGGGTGGGGTAAGGGAGAGCAGGATGGTATGAGAAGGGGGGCCGCCGCGACAGTGGTGTAGAAGAGTGAATACTCTGGTAGAGGGGATGGTGCTGGAATGTTTTATGCATGAAACCATACAATTAAAAGAATTGTAAATTATGATGCCTAAAATAAAAGAATTTTTTAAAAAGGCATTTATGCAGTAGTATTTCTGGCCATTTTGTTTGGCTACTTTGCCATTTGTGTGTTTATGGTTATGCTAAGCTGGACTTAGGAAAGTTTTCTTGCAGAAGGCTCAGTTGACAAGCATTTATAAGACTTACAGTTATTTATAGAAATCCATCATATTCAAAATTCAAATTCCTCTAAATTATACTGTGCATTCCGCAATCATGCATGGCATTGGAGTAATAAATACCTTCTATTACTTGGATTCTTGTGTTTTAAAATACTTTTTTTCCCCTTTGGTTTTTGGGTAACACCCCATGGTGCTAGGTGCTTACTCCTGGCTCTGCTTAGGGATTACTCGTGGTAGGACTCAGCAACCATATGTAGTACTCGGGTCGAAGCTTGGTGGTCATATGCAAGGCAAACAGGCACCTTCGTTGCTGTACTCTCTTTCTAGTCCCACGTAGATAATGTAGTTTTAAAAAAGAGTCTTTCCATTAAATATTTGCTAAAAGATACATAATTCTTTTTTTTGTTTTAGCTGTTATGATTTGTTTAAATTAAAACACAAATGCTTTTTGAAATTATTCTTTCTCCCCAGGAAATTAGAAATGAGTATATTCCATGGAGTTAAATTTCAAGGTCTAGGCTGATGATGATTTTTGTTGGTTTTTGTTTTTGCTTGTCAGGTTTGCCTGTCTGTCCTGAGCTGGTGAGGGAGCATATCCCTAAAACCAAGGATGTGGGACACTTTTTATCTGTCACTGGAACAGTGATCCGAACAAGTCTGGTAAAGGTCCTGGAATTTGAGCGGGATTACATGTGTAACAAATGCAAGCATGTATTTGTGGTCAAGGCTGACTTTGAACAATATTACACCTTCTGCCGACCAAAATCGTGTCCCAGTTTGGAAAGCTGTGATTCTTCAAAATTCACTTGTCTATCAGACTTATCTTCATCTCCAGCCAGGTGTAGAGATTACCAGGAAATTAAAATTCAGGAACAGGTAAATGATCAAATACAAGGAACCCCCCACCCCCCACCCTCATAGAATTTGAAAAAGTTTTTTATTTTCGGAAAGTACTAGGACTAGGACATTGCTGTATGCATGGAAAAAAAATGGAAGTTATTTCATCACTTTGTATAAGATTAAACTTTTGCATAGGAATTTGTCTTTAGAAAGCTTATCTTTTTATTGCATTGGCAAGAAGATTGATAATAGATTAAAATTAAAGAAGTGGTTATTTAAGTTCTTTTTGTTTTTTTGTGTCACACCCAGTGGTGCTGAGGGCGTACTCCTGGCACTGTGCTCAAGTTTCATAACTCGCATTGCTGGGAATTGAAACAGGGTTAGCTGTATGCAAGACATGTACCTTATTCGAGCGAGATATTTAAGGGTTTTGTTTGTTTGTTTGTTTGTTTGTTTTTTAAAGCCATATCCAGCTGTGCTCAGGATGTACTCCAAGCTTTTTGCTCAGAGATTACTCCTAGCAGTACTCAGGTAACCATATGAAATGCTAGGGATCAAACCTGGGTTGGCTATATGTGCAAGCTCTACCTGTTGTACTATATTTCTGTCCCCAGATATTTAAGTTCTTAATACAAGATTCATAGGAGAAAATTTAAGGAATTTAGTTGGTTGTAAACATTAGAATGAATAGGAATTAGAATCTTGGTCCAATTTTGTTTTGCCAAATTTAAGGTATGCATAAATACACTAACAAATATGAGTTAACCTGGTTTTCCTTTACTTAGAGCTGGTACACAAAGGTTTATATTCTCTAAAGTTATTGGAATTGAAGATTTTGTCTGTAGATCTGAGTTATCTGCTGGGGAAGGTGCCTTGGAACATTTGGTGATGTGGTGTGGTAGTGGAGATATATATATATAGTATGAATGGCATTGTAAATCCCAGTACCTCAGTAAACATGATAAATTGATTGGAAAAAAAATAACCCAGTAGCGTGGCCAAGGCTAGCATATAGACTCCTTTTTGTTAAGGACTCAAACTGTGTTTTTATTCAGTTCTGAATGAAAATGACTCTGCTCTTTGGTTGTCCTGTGGTGTAGGATTATGGTAACAACTGTATCACATCTGCAACCTAGTTAGAGGATAAGAAAAAGAAATGATTTCTATTTAAGCAGTCTCCTTGGGAAGTCTACACTATGTCTACTTATCCTTATTTAGTCAAAACTTAGTCAAATGATAATTTTTAAATGCAGGAGATAAAAACTTTTTTTTTCTTGGACATATGTCAGAGATAATAGGCCTTGGTTCTGTTGTTAAGGATTAGGAAACTGAGTGGTTTCTCCCCGGTCTTAGGACTAGAAATCAGGAAAAAAAACTTCCTCTCTCTGCTAGGTAAATAGTTTTGATTTTATGTTTAGTAATTGAAGAATATGTGTGCTTTGACCAACCGGAAGGTCAATTATATTTGAAAGTAGTGTTAATAATAGTGTTGTTATTTCACTGTAGGTTTTGTGTTTTTTATATTATTATGATTATTTTTATTGAATCGCTGTGAGATCATGACAAAGCCCTCATGACTGGGTTTCAGTCATACAGTGATCCAACACCCATCCCTCTACCAGTGTACAGTTCCCACTACCAGTGTCCCCAGTTTCCCTCCTATCACCCCCCTACCACCCCCGGCCTTTTGCCTGCCTCTATGGCAGGCACCTTTCTGCTCTCTCTCCTATTTTGCATTATGGTTGGCAATACAGGTGCCAAGAGATCATCGTGTTTGTTCAGGGTGTTCAGTATTTTTAGTAAGGTACAGCTAGAGTAGCTCTTTTAACTGGATGGTGGCTTTGGAGTGTGGGTGTGACTGCTGGGGCTTCCAGATGTACGGGGAGGTGGGGGTAGATAACCCATCCCGACCCCAAGAAGGCCTGAAGATTTAAGTTAGAAACTTGCATACCTGAATTTTCAGCAGGTTAATATTTCAGTGAGGTTTTCCTGAGGTGGTGGAGTCCATTTAGGGGTATGGCAGCGATTTTGGATTGTGGGAGCAAGCAGTTGTTGGGAACTCTGCTTGGGTGAATACTGAGCTGACTCACCCTGCTTCTATCTACCCTGGTTTGTTCAGTTTTGTCTGGGTTCGAGATTGACAGTGGCTTTTGATCTATTTCAAGATTTATTTATGGACCTCTGAAGCACAGCCAGTAGAATTGCTTACATGGGAGCAGTGGAATTGGTTTAGTAGGGGTGATTACTGGTGCTTCTAGGAACGCAGGGAAGTTGGAGGAGGTTCCCCATCCCCACTCCAAGAAGGCTTGGAGATTGCAATCACAAAACCTGCTACCAGAACTTTCAGGAGGTTCATATCTCGGTGATGTCCACCTTGAGTTCGTAGAGTCCAGCCAGGAGTATGGTGGCAAGTTTGGATTGTGGAAGCAAGTGGTTGTCAAGGACTGCTATTTGGGTGGGAACTGGGCTGACCCACCCCCCACCCCCTCCGTTCTACCCTGGTCTGTTCAGCCTTGTGCGGGTCTGAGATTAACTACGACTTTTGATTTCTTTCAAGATTTATTTATGCGGGGCTGGAGTGATAGCACAGATGGTAGGGTGTTTGCCTTGCACATGGCCAACCAGGGTTCAATTTCCAGTATCCCATATGATCCCCTTAGTACTGCCAGGAGTAATTCCTGAGTGCAGAGCCAGGAGTAACCCCTGAGCATCACCGGGTGTGACCCAAAAAAGCCAAAAAAATCAAGAAATATTTATGGATCTCTGAAGCATGGCTGATAAATGAGCTTGTATGATTGAGCCAGAGGTGATTCTCCCACATACCTAACTTCTAGCAGTTTAATTTCTCAGGAAACTTGGTCCTGAGTTGTTGGAATCCAGCCAGAGGCACAACAGTGATTTTGGGCTTTCAGGAAGTATGAAGGCAACATCAGACTGCTGATGCACTTGCCCTGTGGGTCCAGGTTGACCTGTTGGTAAAGCCAATTTTTCTGCACACAAATGTCAATGGCACAGTGGCCCCAGCAGGGACCAGGGTCAGCTGCTATCATTTGTGGCCTGGGCACTCAGGGAAGGCTGTAGCCACCAGTCCAGCAGAGCCTGACCAGGGAGCATACACCCATCCTGGGTCTCCAGACAGTTGGCTCAGGGACGTTTTCCACTATAATAAGCTACAGGTGGCATGGGCTGGTCTGGGCAAGAAATGGCAGTGGGACTGCTGTTGGTCGCAAATTGCTGGGGTCCCATGGTGAGAACCCGGGGTGCCCCCTCAACTCTTGTACTCATATTCTGTGCTGGTACCAACCTGAACCTGAAGAGTCCTATTTAGACACCTTAAAATTCTGCCGCTGCCCATAGCGCCAAGAGCTGCAGTGGCTCTGCCCATTGATGGTCGCGCTGTCACCATCCTCATGAATCCCACTCCGGGCTGATGCTCCACAGTGGCCAGCCAGCTCATTCATTCAGTGGCACTCTCCCGGAGACAGAATATCCAAGGGGCACCCTCATTAACGCATACAGAAATGTTAAGACCCCATTGGGCCCCGAGAGCTGCTGTCCCTCTGCCAGCTCTGACCCTGCCGCTGCACCGCAGCCATCTTCAGGACTCTCCTAATCAGGGTTTTCCTGCAATCCAGGACACAAAGCCCAGAAAACTTATATGCCAGGGCCCCCACCATCGCTATGTCCTCAGTTCTGTGCTTTGTGCCCTGGATCTTTGGGGATCTGAGGAGAGGGAAAGAGCACCTTCACCTCCTCCATGTCTTCCATAGCTACTATTTACTAATCTGATAGTAGGCACAGCTTTCAAGAGAAGTCTGTAATTTAATTGTTTGGTAATACCAAGGAAATAGAAAAAAAAATTTTTTTTTTGCTAGGCTTCTGAATATTTAGCATGTATCTAAGCACACTCTGGTTTTGTTTTCTATTTTCTGTTTTTTTTTTTTTTTTGCAAGGTTCAAAGGCTATCTGTTGGAAGTATTCCACGATCCATGAAGGTTATCCTGGAAGATGATTTAGTAGACAGTTGCAAATCTGGTAAGAATGAACTTTTGTTAGCTTGTCTAGAAGGTTCTAAAGTGTGGATTAGGAAAAGCCATCCTCCTCCTTCCACCTCCTCCCCAAGGTAATTGGCAAGTAAATTTAAAGGCTTAATTTGCAAGCCATGAAAATAGAGGCAGGCATGAAGATAAGAGTTCATAGCAAGAAAGTAGCCACAGATCCTATTTCTGTATGATTTCAGCTGCTTGTTGTATAGATGAAGAACCTGACTTGGCCCACGGTCTTGTAAAATTAAATAGTGTTAGTGGAACATAAACTCAGATCCATCGACTTCTAGTCTAAAATTTTCTTTTGTACACTTTAACAGAAACAAATTAAGAGTAATGGATTTAGTGTATCAGATCATCAGATAGTGTATAAGATGCTTCAGCGGATGTGACAGTCAAATGCAGTTCTATTGATATCTAGAAGAAAGGAGGTGATTATAATTCTGTTTTATGTTAGTAACATCATTAAGGAGTCATATTGTTATAGCCTACTGTCCTTGGGGTCCTGTATTTGGGGGGGGACTTGACATCATATAGAAATAGGAACTGTGGTGTGTAGCATGCAAAAGGCTTGGAAATGGCAGCTAAATTTGGCAGTCATATAGAAGTAGAATTTATATTTCTAAAAAGAATTATTGGTTTCAGTGGGCTAAACGTATAGGAAAAGTAAACTTCTGCTCTGTTCTCAATCTTATTCTTTATGTTTTGGGCCACACCCAGCAGTGCTTAGTGCTTACTCATGGCTCTGCACTCAGGAATCACTCCTAATGATGACTGGGAGTCAGGGTATCAAACCCTGGTCAGCCGTGTACAACGCAAGCACCCTACAGTCTGTACTATCACTTTGGCCCCTCCTAATCTTAGATCACTTAGAAACTCTTGGTTTTTCTTTTTTCACCTAGCAATTTCCACCTGCTATTTTAAGTCAAATTGCAAGTACCTCAGAAAATGAAAACTGATATCAACAAGTGCCTGTTTTAAGTACTTGGCATTCTCACTCAAGTACCCTTAATCTTTATTTAAAAGTTGCAATGTTATTCATAATTGAGTTTCAGGCTTACAATTTTAACCAATCCCATCACTAATGTCCACTTTCCTCCACCAATGTCCCCAGTTTCCCTCCTAGCCCCACTTTTTTCTTTTTCTCCTCCACCCAATTTTTGGGCATTGTAGTTTATGATACTGATAGGGTATCGTGCATATCACTTTACCTCCTTTCAACACCAGACCTGGTACAGAGTGACACTTCACACCATCACTGTGTAATGGTCCTTTCCTTGACCTTTCTACCTCCCCAGCGGCAAACTTCCTACTAAGGACCTGCTCATTTCTGTTGCCTTTAGGCATTAGATTTTTTACTGTTTCTTTATATCCCGCATGAGTGAGATAATTCTGTGTTCTAACTCATTTCATTCAGCCTGACTCTCTCCAGATGCATTCATGTACCAGCAAATTGCATGACATCGTCTTTTCTTATCGCCAAATAGTATTCTGTATATGGAAGCACTTCTCTTTTCCTAACCCTAAGTCTTCCTAAATTTCTTATTTCTGAAATATTTACCAAGCTGACATTTTTCTAAATTATGACGTAAATATTCTATTTAAGAGAAATCAGTTTTAATTCTTTTTTGTTGTTTTTATTTTGGGGCCACACCCAGCAGTGTCCAGGGCATGGGTCATTCCCGGCAGGGCTCAGGGAACCATATGTGGCGCTGGGAATCAAACCTGGGTCAACTATATGTGAGGCAAAAGCCCTTCCCACTGTACTATTGCTCTGGCCCCTGAATTGTAATTCTTTAGCTACTGGAGACATAGCTCAGTGGAAGCACACATGCCTTGCAGGTGTAAGGCTCTAGGTTGGCTCCCTAGTACTGCCCAAAAAAAGACGTTCTTTATCAGCTCTTCCTATCACCAGCCTTCAATTCAGAAATATTGTTTATAATTTTCTAAACAATACTAGCATAATTATTCCCATTTAATGATCAAGCGTCACAATAGTGAATACTGGAGTAATAGCACAGCGGTAGAGTGTTTGCCTTGCATGTGGCCGACCCGGCTGACTCGGGTTCAATTCCTCCTCCCCTCTCAGAGAGCCCGGCAAGCTACCAAGAGGACCTCGCCCACACGGCAAAGACTGGCAAGCTACCTGTGATGTATTCGATATGCCAAACACAGTAACAAGTCTCACAATGGTGACATTACTGGGCCCACTCAAGTAAATCGATGAACAGTGGGAGGACAGTGATAGTAACTTTTTAATTGATGCACCAAATTATGTGATAATATGCACATATATTCGTGTTTGGAGATTGCCCCCATAGACAACCCAAGGCCTCTTAGGAAAATCTGTAAAAATTTTGTATTCTGCCCATATGGTATTGATTTCCTCAGGTGGGAAGGAACCAACCAAGAAAGGGACAAGTAGGGTTCTATCTTCTGCTTTTAGTTTACAGAAAAGAGCTTTGAAGTAGAACAAGATATTCATTATTGATTAAAAACAAAAAAAAAGGCACTGAGTAAAATGTTAACACAGAAGTTAAAATGGATAAATAAAAAACAAACTAGTATTCCCTATCAAGAGATTGTCTTCATTCCTGACATTTGCATGTGCTCTTTGTCCCCAAATTGTTTTCTTTGTGAATGTATGCAACTCTAACCCTGGCAGGGGAATTTATAGCTGGTCCTTTGTCATGCGAGTGTGTGCCCCACATGCAGGGTGCTTACTTTGGACTTCTTCGTCCATTTCATAGGTGATGATCTCACTATTTATGGAGTGGTAATGCAGCGGTGGAAGCCCCTTCAGCAAGATATGCGCTGTGAGGTGGAGATAGTTCTGAAGGCTAATTACGTCCAAGTAAATAATGAACAATCTGGAGGGATTGTCATGGATGAAGAGGTCCGAAAGGAATATGAAGAGTTTTGGGAATACTATAAGAGTGATCCCTTCGCAGGTTGGTAATTTCTGGGTACAAATTTTTCTTCGTTTTCGTTTTGGGCCACACCCAGCAGTGCTCAGGGATTATTACTCCTGGTTCCCTGCTCAGTGATCACTCCTAGTGATGCTCAGATCATATACGGTGCCAAGCATTGAACCAGAGTAGGCTGACTGCAAGGCACGCACCTTTACCTCTACCATTTCTTCAGCCCCAAGCTGGTAATCACTGACATTTCACAATACAGCAGTTGAAAATAGTTTGTGACCAGAGGGTAGCTTTACAAACTGCATAATTCAATGAATTCAAAGGGTAGTAGCAGTAGTACCTCCAGCTTAGTCTCTTATTTTGAAGTCATTTCAGAGTTTTTTGCCTTAAATTTTTTTTGTAAAATCTACATAATTTAACATTATTTTAACATTTCTTATACTACCATAATAGTTTGATTTCAATCCTTTTTACCAATTAAATATATAATAACTACATCTTAAATAGGACAAAACTTGTCCTATTCTGAAAACTTACCCCACTGAAGTCTTAGTTCTTTTCTGATGTACCTCAACTGACAGCTTCATACTACTTTACTTGGAGAGAGGTAGGAGGGGATGATGATGGGCCACACACAGCAGTGCCTCCTAGAGGCTATTCCTGGGTCTGTGCTCAGGAGTAACACCTGATGATGCTTGGGGGACCAATACTGTACTGGAGATTGAATCAGTGTCTGTGGCATACAACCTTACTCCCCCAACCCCAGCTCCTGTGCTGTCTCACATACCCCATGCTACATGAGCTGAAGACATCAAAATACAGAATAAGTAGGAAAGAAATGAGATAAATATGAAAAAGTTTTTTCATCATAATTACTATGAATTGGATCTAATTCAATTTAAATATCAGTCTTGGGCTGAAGAGATAGTACAGAGGGCAGGGTATCCCACTGACACTAACTCTGAATCCCTGGTTCCATTATTTGCATCCCTAACCACATAAGAGTCCCCAAAGTATCCACAAGTTTCTTCTGAGCACAGAGTCAGGAATAATTCCCAGCACTATGACCCCAAGTTCCCAAAAATAAATAAAAATACTGTATCAACCTTTTGATTCAGAGTATTTTTTATTTAAAAATCCCAGATGTGAAGTGAAATTTTCAAATGTCTATTTTCGTTATTCCTTGAAGGCATCTTCTGTGAAAAACTGAAGCCAATAATAAATTACTTTGAATAAATTGCACCTGAAATCTAATACATATATATTCCTTATTCTTTTTTTTTTTGCTTTTTGGATCACACCCGGCAATGCTCAGGGGTTACTCCTAGCTCATGCACTCAGGAATTACTCCTGGCGGTGCACGGGGGACCATATGGGATGCTGGGAATCGAACCTGGGTCGGCCATGTTGGCTGCGTGCAAGGCAAACGCCCTACTTGCTTCTGCTATGGCTCCAGCCCCATATATTCCTTATTCTTAAATCACATGCTGAACTAGACAAATATTTCACAAAATACTCATCTACCTATATATAGGTGGTTTGCTTATCTTTTTCTTTGCTTGTGCATTTAGCACACTGTAGTGGTTTCTGATCAGTTTTGTTTTTTCCCATCACAAATGGGCTAATGCTAATGCTCAGGGCGAACTCCTGACTCTGCACTCAGGAATCACTCCTGGTGAGAGATCATGTAGGGTTCCAGGGATCAAACCAGGTCAGCAGCAAGCACAGCAAGGGCTGTACCCACTGCACTATTGCTTCAGCCCTGGTTCTTTATCATTATTTGTATGATTTTTACTGTAAGAACCAAAGTTTTCATAAAATGAGGATCAAGTCTTCTTTGGATCATGGTTTATTCCCTTTTAATTCTAGTGCTATAGTGTCATTGGACCAGTGACAATGAAATAAGGTCATCATCACACAGTGCTCTAACCAGACTGTTAGAAGTGCTTTGCGCTGTCTATTAAAAGTGGTCTGTCCTTTTAAAATTAGGTTATAGCTGTCTAAAACATTTTCTGGATAAAAGGAAGAAGTGCAGGGCCAGGAATATGGTGCACTGATTGAGCACTTGCTTTGCATGTATCTGAGACCATGGGGTTGATTCCTAATCATAACTAAAAAGGAGGGGAGGGGCAGAGCAAGAAGTATAACTTTATAATCTTAGGAAAAATATAAATAGGAGAAAATGAAGCAATCTTTTTCTTCATTTGGTTTTTGGGCCATACTTGGCAGAGTTCCAGGGTTACTCCTGGCTTTGAACTCAGGAATCACTCCTGACAGTATTCAGGGACCAAATGAGATAGATGCCAGGGATTGAACTCAGCTATGTGCAAGGCAAGCACCCTGCCAATGACCTATCACTTCAGCCCTTGATTTTTTTCTTTCGTATGAATAGATTCTGTTGAATTTCCTAAGTATGCAGAATTCACCATTTCAGAGTTTATAAGCATGTTGGGGGTCAGGAGGGATAAGGGAAGGTAGGGGATTCTATAGGGCACCTCCATTATGTCAGAAACTATAACAGTGCTTTGCTCTTGAAGGTTGACAGTTCATAAAGATTTGATACTGTGGGTATTGATTAGGATGAGCAAATACATTATTCTGATCTAAAGTGTTAACAGGGATCCCTTGACTCTGTCACTTAGACACTATATAGAATCTGTTGGGCCACCTTAACCCATTCTTAAGTGAGTGGATTATCTTAGATTGAAGGGTTTGTCGGGGGAGGGGGGGGGAGATGGGGGGGTCAAGAGGTTTGGGCCACACCCAACAGTGCTCAGGGATCACTCCCAACACTGCTGAGGGAAACATATGGGGCCTCAGATGGCAAACCTACAGACTGCATGCAAGGCAAGTACCCTACCTGCTGTACTAGCTCTACAGCCCCAGAGTTGTTTTATTCATTGGGGTAACAACTAAGGACCAAGCAACAAGGGTGAGTTACTAGACAGTAGCCACACTATCAGTACAGCTATGTGCTGAATCTTGGAGAGATGACTAAAGAAGTATTCATTCTGATGGATTCTCTCCCAAGATATAGCCACAGGAGCTTCTATTACAACAATCCAAGAAACTGAATCAACTTCAAGCAAATTTAAGAGGACAGGCCCTGTTTTTGAAGCACACCTGACAGTGCGCAGGGCTTACTCCTGGCTCTCTGCTTGTGATGCAAGGGGGAAAACAAATGATGCAGGGAATCAAACCTGGTTCACCCAAATGCAAGGCCAGTGCCTTATCAACAATATTGTCCCTCCTGCCCAGCATGGGACCTGAGCAAGACCCTAGTTTCAGTTACTGGCATGCACTCCAATCCTCCATATACTACCATAAAAGAAAAGGATTTGCTGATTGCTTTAATCCCACCCATTGTTTCTGAGAGTGAGTTCCTGTTATTTAAGCAGAAGGGTAATCTTACTGAAATTACTGCACAGAGTACACAGCTGGCAGTTAAAAGGAATACGTGGAGTTGAAGAATTTTTTTGTCCTTTCCACAGTATAAATTTATTGAAATATGCAGGTAGCAATCAAGAATAAAAAGCAAGCAAACCTTTCATCTCACAATATTAATACGCAAAGAACTTTTAGAATCAAAGTTAATTCACTCCTTTTAGTCATTTAGAAATGATCATCTTCTTGATCATTTTAGGTGGTATCTTTAGAGGAAGATGACCAGTTAGGATAGAAGTAGGGGCTAGAGCGACAGGGTAGGGCGTTTGCCTTGCACACGGCCGACCCGGGTTCTATTCCCAGCATCCCATATGGTCCCCCAAGCACTGCTAGGAGTAATTCCTGAGTGCAGAGCCCGGAGTAACCCCTGAGCATTGCTGGGCGTGACCCCAAAATTAAAAAGATAGGAAATAAATTTTAGTTAGGAGTTTGTGAAAATTGCTGGGGATTTCTGATGTTTCTGCTTTTCCTAGGAAGGAACGAGATACTGGCCAGCTTGTGCCCTCAAGTTTTTGGGTTGTATCTAGTAAAGCTTGCCGTGGCCATGGTGCTGGCTGGTGGGATTCAAAGAACTGATGCTACAGGAACACGAATCAGAGGTGAGCACCTACTTTACATTTTTTGGGAAATATAACATACAAAATTACTTAAGGGGTGGGAGAGACAGTACAGTGGGCAGGGTGCTTGCCTTACACATGGCCGGTCCAGGTTTCTAAAACTATGTATATTTTTTGCTTAGCCTATAATAAAATCTTCACATTTCATTACTATGCTATTGGATTTCCAATCTCTCTTCAGTGGAAAAGATGGAATGATAGTAGTTTTTAATGTCTCCATCTTAGCATCTCTACATCTTTGACTGACAGTGTGTTTCTCAGACTTCTGCTCCTAGTCATCTGCCTGTTGATTCTCCTTGTGCTGTTAGGTAGCAAATGTACCATCTGTTATGAGGTGCTGCCATCAGAATACATGCAAGCAAAGATGATTCAAGCAAAGTGTACAATTGTTTCCCAATGGCAGAAAACAGATAGCATACTTAAATCTGGGGCCAGAGAAATAGTACTGGGGTTAAAGCACTTTTTTTTGCACGTGGCAAAACCAGGTTCTATCCTCTGCACCACATGTTGTCCCTCAAGCATTGTCAGAAGTGTCCAGTGAACACTGCCAGATCTGGTCCAAACCTACCTTCTAAAAATTACACAAATCAGCATAATGTAGGTTATTATGGCCCTTGTTTAGGCAGTTTGAGGGCCAGAATAGAGGTGAAAGCAAAAGATGAACAGGGTATTACCATATACCAAATTGTTATAGGAACTCAAAATAAAGAATAGTATAATAAATATAGTAAGATTTGTGTATTTTATATCTTATTCAAATGCTGTTTTTGAGGCACTCTGCTCAATGTTGAGTGTCTTATTCGTATTTACAAAATAAATATCAATGAAATTTGATCATGAGATAGAACATATACAGCATATTCCTATGTTCACGTCATATTTGAATACTAAGATATTTGACTAAACTAAGATTTTTATAGCACTGTAGCACCATCCTCCCTTGTTCATAGATTTGCTCAAACGGGCACCACTAACGCCTCCACTGTAAGATTTGTCACTGTTTTTGGCATATCTAATATGCCACAGGAAGCTTGCCAGGCTCTGCCATGTGGGCAGGATACTCTGGGCAGCTTGCTGGGCTTCCCGAGACGGATGGAGGAATCAAACCCGGGTTGGCCGCATGCAAGGCAAACGCCCTACCCTCTGTGCTATCGCTCCAGCTCAAGGTCTGTATAAAAAGGACTTTTACTGTCAGAACATGAGTGAGTTAATACTTAGAAAGTCCCAAACACTAAAATATAGAAAATTTAATCATAATAATTTGGTTTAAAATGAAATAAAATCAAGTTTTATCAGCCAAAAATTATATCTTCTTTCCTTTTTTAATGGATTTTGTAGCCATACCTGGCTCTGCTCAGGGCTTATTCTTACTTTATTTCTCCAGCTCAGAATTTAGATTTTAAAATGTCAAATTCAGAAATCAGTTAATAATCATGATTAATGATTTTCTAATTGCATTCTTCCTGAATTATCTAACGTAAAAGTATATAGCAAAAGCATTATATAAAATCAAAGCTGTACTCCAAGTGAACCATTTTTTTTTTCCTTTTGAGCACAGATAGGGTGTTTGCCTTGCATAGCCAATCTGGGTTCAATTCCTTTGCCCCTCTTGGGAGAGCCCGGCAAGCTACCGAGACTATCTCACCCGCACAGCAAAGCCTGGCAAGCTACCCGTGAAGTATTCGATGTGCCAAAAACAGTAACAAGTCTCACAATTCGTTGTGAGACGTTACTGGTGCCCGCTCAAACAAATCAATGAACAACAGGAGGAGAGGACAGGATTCATTATACTTATTTATGTGTCTTTTCAAAAAAAATTACAACTTCCCATATTTTAACATTTCTAGGTGAATCTCATCTTTTACTGGTCGGGGATCCTGGCACAGGAAAATCTCAGTTCCTCAAATATGCTGCAAAAATTACACCAAGATCTGTGCTTACCACAGGAATTGGATCTACTAGTGCAGGTATTTTATTCAACAGTTTCACTTAATTTAACCTTAACCTTGCTACAGAAACGAACAGTGTTTTTTTCTTATAAAGTTACCTATATTATGATATTTCTAGGTAATTTTGACCTGTTACCAAAACTTGAGGGACATGTGCAACATTACTTTATCTTCAAGAAAAGTATTTATAAAATTACACGACTGTGTTAAAAAAATATGTATCACTTTGATATTTGCATCTTAGTTTTAAATGCTCCTGCTTGATGCTGTCATTCTCTAGGTATTAACTTCCTATATTATGCAGGAAAAATTTTGCATCTCATCACATTTTATGAATACCTAGCAAATTATGTTCAAAGACTTCAATAGAAATCTAACAAAAGTAGACATAAAGTAGAAAGCTAAAGCATTTCCATTATTATAAATTTCAAAAGTAGCCACTGCTTCTACTAAAAATTCTTAGAAAATTTTTCTATTTGAAATGCATACTTATGATGTGTAGCTTAATTCATACACTATTAGGAGTCTTCAAGTACATTTAAAGGCTCTGCAAATAAGAATTCAAGGGGATAGATAGTACAGTGTTTAGGATGCTTGCCTCGCTTCGGCTGAGCTGGGTTAGATCCCCATGACATGAGCCCACCTTAGTAACCCTTAAGCACTGCCAGATATAGCCCCAAAACAAAACAACGACAAGAATATTAAGAATTTCTATTGACTGTAGGAAAAAGAATTTTTAAAATATTTTGTTGCCATTTTGTATTTTACAGATTAGATTAAGGAAATATTTGTCTATAATAGACCTTTGGCATCACACATTGCGCAAGTGTTAAGTTACTTGGTAAGGGAATCTAATGTGCACAGCCCACGCTCAAATTTCTTTTGACAAACTAATTTGCATAAAACAGCAAATGCCCCACTACTGTTTCTGTATAGTGAGAGCCCCATTCTAAGAGGCTCAGGTTTTTAGATAAAATATAAGGTTTTAATGAGATTTTTTAACCCTGAGTTACGCACAGCCCCAGGATACTGGAAGGGAAATAGACAAGAATATATAAGAAAAATGCGTATGTGCACTCTAAAATCCTTATCAGTATTCTAAAATTTCTGTATAAAATTATATAAACATAAAACAAAGCTATTCCCTGTGAAATTAAGCCAAATGCTTCCTAAGTAACTATAAGAGTTTGAAGAAGCAAATCAGGGCTGAAGAGCATAGCAGGTAGGGTGCTTGCCTTACATGTGGCCATCCTGGGGTTCAATCTCCAGCATCCCGCATGGACCAGAGCTCTGCCAGGAGTGATTCCTGAGTGTAAACCCAGGTGTAATTCTCAAGTATGGCAAATGTTGCCCCAAAACAACAACAAAAAACCCCAAGAGACAAGTCAAAGCTATCTCAGAGTCTACTAGTAATTTTAATAGTTTTGAGGTGAAGAGCTGCTAACTCAGTATCAGTACTTTTCATTTCTTAATGCCATCATCGTAACTGAAGCATGAGAGTTTAGACAGAGAAATATAAACTTTGTAACAGTATTTATCATTTACCAAAGGCCCAAAATTGCATTTCTGCAAAGTGTGTTATCACAATCCGTTGGTCATAAAAGTTGAGTCAAAATCAGCACTTTCAAATTAAAATTCAGTAAGATATCAGAATATATTGCATATAGCAAAATGGGCAATGGTATTGAGTGTGGTATAAAAACAGTATGAAAAATTGTTGACACTTTATAGGCTCAGACTTAAAATTTTTAACTACAGATCACAGTAAAGTTTGAGAACTATTCTCATATGCTGAAAACCCAGAGGGTAAAAATACATGGAAACCTAGCATTGTATAAAGCTATAAATTCACATATGCTTTTAAGCCTCATTCCCCAAATGTATAATTGCTTATCTCTTCTGTAGAGTAAGTATTTTAATTATGTTTATCTTCTCAAAACATAGCTATATACTTGTGATCAAAAGGTGGGGGAGGGGCTGAAATAGTACAGCAGGTAGGGCGCTTGCTTTGTATATGACTGACCTGGGTTCAATCCCCAGCATTTCATATGGTCCCCAGAACCCACCACGAGTGATCCCTAAAAACAAAAGAAAAGAAAAGAAAACGGGGAACAGTTCTAAAGCTTCTATCTTTCTATCTCTAATTCAGATAGTATCTGTTATATGAGGCTACAAATCAAGGAGAGGGCGAAATCTATGTATTTTCTTAGTTCCTAATATTTGAATTCTAAATATATTATTAATTTAGGTAATTGAAGGTAACTGATTTTTAAAATCCTAACTTTTTGATGTCAATACAAGCTGATAATCAGAATAAAAACTCATCACTAAATTGCTTTACTTGGTAATTTAGCTTATATATGCTTTATTTCTATTAAGCACATATCTTGTTCTTATTATATTAATCACTGAATTCTTTTGTTGGAAAGTATTTTTATTTTCATTTTAATATTTTTAACATTTTTAATTGCAATTAGACAAAAATGAAATTTAACAATCGGACGTGTTTTAAAGTCTGCAAACTAGCTAGTGGAAATATTTTAATAATCTGGTATACTAAATTTCAACATTTAGCAAAATTTTGCTTCACAATTTTTTAGAATGACAATATATATATACAACTTTAGAATCCATATTCAGACAAATACCCTTTTCCCTTCCTCAAAATAAAATCTTTAAAAAGTGCAGCATAAAAGTTTCAGCTATAAAGGCACTGCATAACTGCATCATATGGCTAGTCTTGCTTAACAGCAAGAGTAATGAAAATATTCTACACTTAATTTGAGGAAGGACCTAGCTCTGAAAGATAAAGAATCTTTTGGCCCATTTGGTTAATGAATTCCTTACCAAGATAACTTTTCCATATTTTAAAAAGCTGTCTAAACTATGTCAGCACGAATGTGCCAATCTTACTCTGCAAGGGATATGACGAGCACTATACGTGTGAAAATATTTCCAAAACAGTCACTTATCTATTATGATTAAGCTAAATATCCTCTTCCAAATCCACTGTTTTTAAATGCTAACAACAAATGAGATATCAAAAACAATTTTAAAGAGTTCATAGGACTTTCATGAGCCTAGTAAGTCATCAAAGATGTAAGTCATTAAAACTTTCCATGAGAGCGATGAAAAGGGATGCCAGGGGTCACACACAACAAAGATTGAATTTTAGGGTGTGAGGATCTGTTGCTGGTAAGACCCTGTGGTGTGACAGAACACCAGGGCCACCCTGCAGTTCTGGGAGAAGGAATCTGAGGTGATGTGGTGCTGGGGATCAAACCAGGGTGAGGAACATGAAAGGCATGCACTCTAGCCCCTATACCAGAAACAATTTTTAGTTTCTTGGCATTTTAAATTATGATGTTCTGATTTGTTATAAGAGCAAGCCAGGAGACTCTTTAAACCAAATTGAATATTGAGCAAAATTATGTGCACTCTAATAGCCACAAGAGGCTTCTTGGTGGTCTAGAAAATCAAGTCCTAAAGTTCTTGGCAGCAGTTGACTTCAAAACCCTTTTTAAGGACTTGTGGGGAGCCGGGGGAGAGTGCTGGTGGGGGGGCACAACAGAATGTTCCCCTTTAAAAATTAAGCCAACTGTTGTGTTATCACAGATACAGTTTAGTTAAAGTGAATCGGGTTCTTTCAAAGATTAGTAAAATATTGGTCTAAAGATTATTGTCCAAGAGGCAAGATATCTTTATATCCTGGTCTGATTTCACATTTTTTTGTAAGTGCTTTAATTACATATAGAGGAGAAGAAAATAATATATATGTTTTAATCAGAGTAGTTTCAGAACAAATAAAATAACACATTAGAGAAAAAAATTACTTAAAAATAGTTGTATTTATATTCCACAATTTGCTCAAATACTGGTTTTCTTATAAACTTTCTACAGGATGTCTTTAAAACAAATTCTTCACATTGTATCTTGGCTATATACTTACGGAATTTCAGGGAAATAGTTCTGTTTTATAGGTTAATTTGTACTAAAGGGATGGCAGTTGGTCACATGCAGTCCATATGGGATTCTAACATAACATTTAGTGAGTTTTCTGATGTAGACCATCCCTTTGATGCTGAAGGTAATGCATCTGTTGAAAGAAGTGATTGTAGATTTGGATTACTGCTCTCTGCATCTTCCAGTTTTTCTGTATTATCTTCCCAATTGATGTGGAATCTTGTGACTCTGGGATTAGATGCCAAAATATTCCTTTGAAGCTAGAGGAAGAAGGAAATATGTAAGTGATAAATACTAGGAAAATCAGATCAAAATATACAATCAAGGTGCTTAATAATATGATCCTCCAATATGAGTACTGTGAGGGCTAAATTCACATACAAAGTTATAGTAAATCAAATAAAGCCCTAAGTGAATGAAGTCTTAGAACAGGTCTATAGCACAGTAGCCTAATGAAAACCAGATATGGAGAATTTGAGAGAACGTATCCCAAAATATATAACTCCTCTATATTTCTTTCCCCTAAAAAGAGGAGAATATCACAATTTGAAGATCAATATTTTGAAGGGATGCTATATTTGATAAATTAGTTTGTTCTTTACTTGGAGTACTGTCTAATATTTCGTAAAAAATTTATAGTTTTCACAAATACAATCTCATATTACTACTTTCTAACTTTTAATTTTGGCTCATTCTTAAAAAAAGCACTGTGGATGTTTTTCTTTTTTTCTATAGAAGGAATTCTATAGATAATATATTGGATCAGTGCAAGATCCCACACCAACAAAAAAATTCCAGGAAAAAGGAACATTCCAGCCTTATCAGAAAGGAGAATATTCCATTCTCTACCCATTTAATTTTTCTTACAAGGTCAGAAAGATAAGATGTCATACATGATCTCACAGAAATCACTAGTTAATTGTTACTGTTCCCAACATCAAGTCAAGAAATAGGTATTTTTGAGAAACAGAAGGACATCTCTAAAATATGTAAGCCCTTTAGTCTAACCTCTGAGAAGCACAGATTAAATGAAAGCAATTAGGTGTTCTGAGATAACAATGTTCAAAAGAAAAACACAAACTTCCCCAATTCTTGGAAGAACTAGAGATAAAATTATTACTGAATAAAGTACAACACGGACTTGCAAGTCCTAATGGTAGAAATGAATATCTGACATGTGTTACATGAGAAATGTCATAGAAGTCAAAGACAGAGGTCTATGTTTCTTATAGAATGAAATTTCACTTCTAAATCATCTCAAGGAACTCAAGTAACATCAGTGGACTCATTTGGTGATAGCGTATGATAGGGCATCCAGAGCAACAGAACAGTGATTATGAGTAACAACATAATTACAAATGAAGTTTGCCCTATTACTCAAGTTTCTTGTCTTAACGTCAGCCTCATTGTGCACTATTTGTCCAGTGCTCAAATATTGTATAGCAAAAGTGATGAGAAAAGTAATAGAACATTACCTTGGAGAAGTCTGGTTTTACTGGAGGATTTTCTCTTAACTCTGTCTCAGTATATTCATTATTTACATAATAGCCAACTCTAATAAATTCTTGACCCCGATAGGTACACGTAATTAGCACAACTGTTACACCTACTGCATCTGCATCTGGAATGAGTCCTGGATTAGGAGCATCAGCCTAGAGTAATTTAAAAAGAAAAGAAACAAAACACAAAAGGCTGTTAGTTAAGACCCAAGATTTAATTATCTTGAGCAACAACAGTTGAGGGGAGCACAGTAACAAAACTTGAAGTCATACTAAGAAAGCAAAGTGTTCACTTTTGAGATGGATGTATCTAAAAACTTCAGTTAATACACCTACCTAAAGCATACCTAATGATTTGGGGGCCAATTAAGAGCATCACTACTCTTATTTTAGGCCACACCTGGAGATACTCAGGGCTTACTCCGGACTCTACACAAGAAATACTCCTGGCAAAGTTCCAGGGACCATAGGATATTCCAAGGGTAGAACCTGGGTCAGCCACACATAAAGCAAGCACCCTATCTGCTGTACTATCACTCCAGCCAACAGCATACTACTTCTGGAGGAAAATCGGAATCTAGTATATCATAGTTCATGAGGCATTACATAATAATTATAAAGTCTTTATAAGCTATATAAAATAAAGCCTTGATAAAACATTTAAATTAACTCCTCTGCTAACGCCTCTAGTCATAATTTTCAGACCTAGATTAGTAAACATTCAACTTTTTTTATACAGCCTATTGGCAGCAAATATTACCCCAGTTTTTCAATTCTAACCAGAACATATATCCTCACGCTCACCCATTCACCTCACAGATTTAAAAGTAATTTAGAAATAAATTAGTAGGTAAAACTGGAATGGAGATAAGCTATTTAACAGATTTTTGAAGCTTCAATTCTCTGTTGTGAATAATGTACTAAACTACATTGTACTGTTTATACCGCACATACTGGACTGGGAGTTAGCTCAGTGACAGAGATAGCTTTGCATGTGGGGTGCCAGGGGTCAATCGCTGGAACTCCCTGGTCCTCCAAACACCACTGGGAACCACCACCAGAAACCAAGCTGGAAATAGTCCCTGAATACCATCAGATAGGGCCCCCAAACAGAAACCACACATGTTATGGAAGTTCAGAGAAGGTAAAGACAGCTTTAAATTTACAAATGTCATCAATGATCTTATTTTGAATCAAGCTTCTGTAAGCTAAATCTTGGAAGAAGACAACTGACACAAATGAGCTAGGAAGCAAAGATTCCATTTCTGTCCATAGAATGCTGTGCAGGTTAAGAAAATGACTCAGACTGAAAAATGAACAGTGATGGTAAAGGCATCTGAGCTCCACTGAGGCAGCCATTCTGGGTGCTAACTGGATGTCAGCAGATTAGTTTACTGTTGCCAGGAGACTAGGAAACAGATTCCTGGACCTGCATGAATACATCAGCCAATTACTTTGCTTGGGAATAATTGATATTCTCAATTAGACCATTTCAGACTCCTACTGTTCCTACTATATGCCTACTGTGGAGTGGCATAAAATAACCTACCCAGTCATCCAAGCTAAAAGCTCTGCATCCTTCTCTATCTCCCACACCTAGTCTATTAATCTCAACATTGTTCATCTCTGAAGGCTGAAACTGGGTGATCTTTTACCTGAATACTGCTAAAACTTTCTAACTGGTCTTGCCCAGCTCTAGCAAATTATTTGTATTTCTGCCAGCAATAGATAGTTAAACATTCCTTTTTTTTTTTTTACCAGGTTTTACAACTCCATTTCTATTCCTTAGTTTACCCTGGCTTCATTTTTAGAACACCTCGCTTATAGGATTTTTTGACAATTTGTCCCACCATCAGCATATCTAATCAAAATTAATTTAATTCCATATTTCTTACTCTTATTCTAGAATTACACAGGTCCTTTAAAATGTAGTGATAATCCTTTATGTATCTTTGCCTTTTATCTTCTGTTTGCTTCTCCTGAAGGGTCCATTCCTAATATTCTGAAAAATTCATCTCTTGAAGCTTTCCTCAAATGTATACTTTCCAGTAAAGCCCTTTCTAATTCAAAGGCAGGATTAATGCACATGCTTATACCATGACATAAATTCTATACTAATATGTGCCCAATAATTTAAATGTTTACCATTTAGTTTTTCTAGAAGTTCTAAACTTTATTCTGGGTCTGATCAATTCATGGGCTGGAGCCATAGCACAACAGAGAGGGCATGTGCCTTGCATGTGGCCAACCTGGTCAAGCCGTGTTTGATTCCCCGCCCCTCTCAGAGAGCCTGGCAAGCTACCAAGAGTATTTCGCCCGCATAGCAAAGCCTGGCAAGCTACCTGTGACATATTCAATATGCCAAACACAGTAACAACAAAGCCTCACAATGGAGACATTACTGGGCCCACTCAAGAAAATCTGTGAACAATGGGAAGACAGTGACAATGACAAATTCATCTTTATAGCCTTATGTCTGTTATAATGCTGAGTTATACCATATACTTAGTATTTTGATAAAGGTAAAGGCCCTCCCGTTGATCGTCGATTTGCTCGAGCGGGCCCAGTAACGTCTCCATTGGAGACTTTGTTGTTACTGTGTCTGGCATATCGAATACTCTCGGTAGCTTGCCGGGCTCTCCGAGAGGGGCGGAGGAATCGAACTCGGGTCGGCCATATTGGCCGCTTGTAAGGCGAACGCCCTACCCGCTGTTTACTTGTCTATATCCACTCATAACTCATTTCTGCCCTAAAGGAATTTTGGTTTCTTTGGAGAAATTGCAGAATGGGAACTGAGGCCTATCCTGGAAAATATGCTGTTTATTTTAGAGGTCCTTTGCACCCTTCCCCAGAAGAGTTCAGTTTACTTCCACAACACTCAAAATTCCCATTTTATTGGAAATGGCTAGATTAGAGAAATAGAAGCACTTTAGTATCACTATAGGAAATTTCTCCCATAATGTGTTACATCTCGTTACCAAACTGGTTCTAGGAAAATGTTCTAAAACCTTGCCAAAGAATTTAACTTGAACATGCATTGACACAAAGTAAAATTAGAAAATCACTTGAGTTTTGAACAAATTTTTCCTACAATACTCTAGTCAAAAGCTTACTAATGTTCTTAACATTATAAACATCACATTTATTTGCAAGTTTTTATTGTTGCATAAAAAGGTGCATTATTACAAAACAAAGAATGTTTCACAGATTTGTGGGTAAGCAAATATTGCTCCTTAATTTCAAGAAAAGAATTAAAAACTTAGTTCTAATTATAGAAATAGAGCATTATTTGTCAGTCATCGTAATTAACTGCTTTATTTCTCACTTAATCCTCTTAACACTCTTATGAGACAGGATATTATCCACATTTTATTGATGACTGTAGTAAGTCATGAATTGAGTCATGAATGGCTAATAAACAGTGGAGTGGGATTTGAACCAGATCTGTCATGGTACCCATATCTTTTACCAAGGTTATATTTAAATTCACTTTCAATATGCTTGAGCCCTTGAGTTAACATGTATGAGGTTAAGCATCTGTTAAGATTTAATAAATTATTTGTTCCTGTTTTATTTTTGGTTGGCAGTCATATCCAGTGGTGCTCAGGGTTCACTCCTAGTGGGGCTCAGGGGACCATATGGGATGCCAGGGATTAAACCTTCATTCAGGGCAAATGCCTTACCTGCTGTGCTATTGCTCCAGCTCTTACTTATTGTTTTTAAGTTAAAACAAAACACTTAAGCTAAGAGACCAAGGTTCTTCTAGTGTTTAGGCCACACATGGTGGTGATCAGGGGTCACTCCTGACTGAGTGATGTCATCTGGTGCTAGTGACCAAACTGGGTTAAGAACAAGATTCTAAATTCTATAGGAGAGAGAAAGGTAACAGCTCTAAAGACACTGTATGTTTGAGCAATTCTTAGCCCATATTTACTTGGTATTATTTGACTATCGATTATGATGTGAGAGGACATGAAGGTCAAAGATGAGAGGAAATGAATATTTTTCTGGTTGAGGATTTTTCAGTGGATTTATCTGATGGGACTCTCTTTGGGGAGGAATTACTTGGAATATAACATATATATTTAAATCTATGTATTATTTGGACTAATATAAATATCTCCTAATAATCATCTATCAATGTGAAGTAACTGGATAGTTTCATACAAAATTTAACATGTATGAAAAGAATTTATCATCTCATTTTTTGGGTCACATCCAGCTATGCTCAGGACTTACTCCTAGCTCTGTGCTCAGGGATCACTCCTGGCAGGGCTCAAGCAACCACATGTGTGGTACTACATGGTTCCCTGAGCGGCACCCAGGAGTAACCCACCACCTCCCTACAGAGCTGGGAGTAGCCCCTGAGTACCACCAGCTGTGGCCCAACATCCCTCATCCAACGGGAAAAAAAAATGTTAGTTTACATAATTAGCAGTCTAGCTACTAGATTTCAATTCTGACAACCCAAGTTCTCACAGATCTCTAATTGATAAAAATACCCGTTAACCTATCATTGAATAATGATTAGAAGGAAATCGATTTTTTGTCATCACTGCTTATTGCTGAAACTAAATCAAAAATGAGTACTACTAATTATACCAATTACGTTTTTAATTTGTGCTCTGGACTGCTCAGTAGACATCCAAAAAAAGTCTTCAAACCAGAGACTATTCATAGAAACAATATAAAATTAACTACCCAGGGATGTTGTGACAGATTTGTCTACAGTATGTTGTGCAAACCCTGAGGTAATGAAACTCACATGAAGTAACAAAGATCACATTAATGTCTCAGTACACAAAACTAAAAAGTGGCATTTAAGACAGAGGGATCCTAAAATATCATAGACCCATACAGAGTAAATGCAACAGAAGTAGAATGAATTAATCCAAAACAAACAGGAAAACAAAACAACTATGGGATCCAGTTTATTTAAAAATACTTGGAGGGTGTGGAATGGAACCTGGAGATACTGTGGAGGGAGACACTGGTGTTAAGATTGGTGTTCGAACACATTACACTTGAAACTCAACTATGAATAACTTTGTATATCACAGTGACTTAATATTTCTTAACTAAGTGTAAAAGAATAGTTTAAAAATAAAACATACTTGGCATAAATATTCAGCAAAAATAATCTTACCTGAAATACAAACATATGCCTTCCCGCAGGTACAGGACCCACTAAAACAGAGTCTAAAACTTGATCGTATTCTTCACTTTCTGCAGAGCCCACGTAGATAATTTTCCATTCCAAGTCTAGGGTTAAAAACCAACACAGTATTTTATATTTAGTAATAACATGGAAGACTATTCATGTTCACTTAATCATTTATGGGTGCTAAAGGTGACTTCTCATAGCAGAAAATCCAGAAAGGAACTTAACTGTCACTTATAAAGTTCTTATGTTTCATTCTTTTTCAAAATATTATTTTGTAAAGCAGTGCTGCTTTATAAAACATGATCAGATACATCAGAAATATTATAGACTCATTGTAGGTTTCATTGGGGGAGCAAGTGATCTGTAACATTCCCAGTAAATACCAATAACATTCATCTATAACTTTCCCTCATTCATTTGACTACTGAGTTCTTCCCTTTTCATATATAATCTCTGACAACCTCTGAAACCTTCCTCCAATACCACTGCACAGATCCACTCAAGAGCGCCAAAGTAGAAAAATGATTCAGAAGGGGATTTAGATCAAAATTGTTACAGGCGTTTTTCATGGTATCTTTTATTTATTTATGGTTTTGGGCCACACTGGCGATGCTCAAGGCTTACTCCTGGCTCTGCACTCAAGAATCACTCCTGCTGGGCTCAGGTGATTATATGTGGTGCTGGGACTGAACCTGAGTCTGCAGCATGCATGGCAAGGACCCTACCGACTATAAAATCTCTCCAGCTCCTCATATTTAAATTAGGAAGAGGAAATGAAATGAAGAGAGCCTTTCTGGTCATTTATGGGCTGGCAGTTCAATGCAAGTGCCCAAGGATGCAGTGCTGCAGCATCAGGGATTATATGGGATACCCTGACAGTGTTTGGGAGCTTCCAGGACTGCACCTGGAAGTGCTCAAGGGATTATGGTGCCAGGGATCAAACAGGTCAGCTGGAATCAAGGCCTGTGCCTTAATCCCCATACTACCTCTCCACCCCCTATATCCTAACTCTGTAAACTGTGGGTCATCTTTTAAAACCTTTGTTTAAAATAACTTTATGATTTGTTATCAGTATATGTTTGATTTGTATACACCTGTTTTATATACCTATCTATATGCACAGGCTCCTGTAGAGATTTCTTTTACAAAAAGGGACAGAGTAGAAAAATTTTAAGAAGCCCTGCTTTGCATCATCTGATTTGGGGAAAAAAAAATTTTTTTTTTAACCAGGGATCATTTGGTTACCCTATAAAGTCCCAGGAAATTTCAAGGAGGCCAAACAAATTATGTAAATGAGGGGCCAAGGTATGAGATAGGCCAGAGTAGAGAAACAGGGAGGGAGGGTCTTCCCCTCCACCCCCAAAATAAGGTTGGATGGGGGTAACAGTTGGAAAACTATTGCAGAACACTGCAATATTGAATGTTTGGCATGCTCAAGGAGGAAGGAGACCAGGTCTTGTATAGAAGAATGAGCAAAGGAGAGACTGGAGGTGAGAAATGGTTGAATGATGGTTTTGAAAGTCATCATAAAGTCTTGATTTGCACTGTGTAGTAGGGAATGCTATTGGAGGAGTTTCAGTAGAATCAGGGTAACATGATCTTGCTTTCATTCTGAAAGAATCATTTTGGCTGCTGTATTCAGTGTATATATAGACTGGCAGAAAACATAAAAAGAACAGTTCAACAATTAAGGCAAGAAATTATGGTGGCATGGACCAAGTATAGACAGCCACAATGGTGAGAAGCAGCTACAAACTAGACAGATTATCAAAGATGCAGCAAGGGCCTTAATATTTATTTTTGTGGGGCCGGAAGAGGAGGAAAGCAGCTAGTTTTAACATGTTACACTGAAAATGTCTTATCTTACTGGAGATATTGAGTACGTCCATTAAAAATCTGGAAACTGTCAATATGAAGTCTAGAGGATGCCTAGAGAGCAAGATTGGGTGCTCTAAAGCTAAAAACTTGAAAATGGAGAATCAATGAAAGTGGGTTAAAGAAGGAAAGAGATAGTGCAGTTGGTAACCGTGCAGGCCCTGCACACGTCCAACTCAGGTTCGATCCCCAGCATTGTATATGATCCCTGTCAGGAGTGATCTCCTGAGTGAGTCTAGACTAAGCACTAATCACAGGCAGTATGGCCAAAAGAAAAAAAAAAGTAGATTAAAAAACTAGTGGCCAACAAGGTAGGTAACCCAAAAGCCAATCAAGAGAAAATATTTCTAAAAGGATGTGAAAGCACCTAAATTAACCAGGTGAGAAAACTAGTAAATCATCACATGGCCATTTTTGAAATATTTTGACCATACCCTACGTATTTGTAACCACTAGTAGTGCACTTGGGTTCCTAATAGATATAAATGAAATTGGCATTGGTGGTCTGAAAAGAAAAGCAATGATTTATAAATCAACTTTATAAAATATCTGTTCTGGGCTTTGATTTTAATGCTTCACACCTGTTTGAGCTTTATGGCATAGATTAGATCATACCTATTATGCAAACAAATTAAAGATGTGTGAGAGGCCTTTCCCAAAGTGCTTAATAATGTTTCTTAGGAAGCACAGGAACAATGTAGAAGTAGGTAAATGCAATTGGGCTGGGTAATTTTTTTAAAAAACCGGGGCTGTAAGCCAAATAAGTTTGGGAACCTCTAAGTAATCTACCCAGTAAATCAAAGAATCAGATACCAAACTCTTTCCCAAAAACATTAATTAAACAGATATTTCCCTTTTCAGCTCTAAAATAAATGGCTGAATAAAGGAAAAGAAACTTAATTGGGAGGTGGATGGAGGCACTGAGTAATCTCTCTGGCCAAGAGATGATAATTTAGCCCTAAGGAGTATAGGTGGTAACTCACTCATCACCTGCACTTTTCTTTATTCTTGTGAATGCTTACACTAGTTACAAGTTTAAAATGATCAGTACTTATTTTTAAATTAACATCAGCAGTCTTTGTTTTAAAATCAGCTTTGATTTTGTTGCACCCTGCATTAAAAGTTGGAAAGGAGAGCATCAAATGCTTTACCAAAGTTTTCAGTTGAAGGAGCCTATTCATTTATTTAAAAAGTTAACTAATTGTTTCATTTAATCATGGTTATCTTAGCCTAGAAATATCTGCTTTTGTAGTGGGCGTGAGCAGTCACCAAAGGAAAAGTTTAATTACCCTAATTGGGAAGACCTGTGGTATATATATAGTGTGCAGTCTTGAGAATTAGAGCAAGCATCAAGTTTGAAAGCATGTTGCATCCACTAAGTGCATTCTGGTACTCCCTAAGTATGCAAGTGACATTAGCTATGATTACTAATATTGATTAAAAATGGCTCTATCCAATAGAGAAACAGAATCTGATTTGATATCCATTATCCAGTCCAAATAAATGAGTCTATTTCCCAGTAAAGTCTCTGAAATCAAGATTGCTGTCCTACCACTGATGTTTTGTACTATAAAACGCTCAATCATCTTTACAGCAAATACTCAACAATTTTAAGCAAAGCTTCAGGGCAGCTTTTTAAAGAAAAAATGAAAAAAATGGGGTTCTATGACAAGTCAAATCATGAAAAAAATAATCTCTGGGATTTAAGAAAAAAATATGAATTTTAAATTTCAGTAACGGATTTCAAGTACTGTGAAAGTATGGAACCTATACAAAGCCCTTTGCTAAAGTAAACCTCTAGGTGGAGTACACAAACATGGCACCTTTTTGCTTCAAAGATTCCTTTGCAGCTCAGTATGACTCAGCTTAAACTTTTTCTAAAAAATACTAAATAGATGTCCAGCATAGGTCCCTGGGAAGGGAGAAGTACAAATAATAGGTATATATTTGACATTGGTACTGTGAAAATTCTGATGAATCAGCTGGGTTGTGACAGATCTCAGTTAAAATTGGAACACCCTGCTTCCAAAAATGGCGGGTTTCAACCAACCAATTTCAAAGCCTTATTGACAGAATTGGCTCCTAAAATGGAAGATGTTAAGATATATGTGTAATTTGAAGAATGCCTAAAACATTAGTCTAAAGTAGAAGGAATTGATTAATGATTTATCTTGCACGTGCCCATATTTCATATGTAATGGATAATAGTTGGATATAAAAAATGGAAAAATTAAGATGGGCTGGGAAAAAAGGGTCAAATTTAAGATTTGGCTAAATGTAGACAAATTTGGCTAACTAGCTAAAATGTTTACAGATGATATTATGAAAAAAATAACCAAATGTCTTGTTCTTAAATTTGATCTTTAGATAAATAGCTTGAACATTAATGTAACAATTCCCTTTTATTACCAAAGATCCATTTTAGAAATTAATGAATAATCTTTTTAAAATGTATACTGTGTGCAATATATGTACATATTGCACACTTTCATATGTGTATAAACACTGGGAAAGCTCAAATGACTGAGAGGAAGTACAAGCTTGTTACTTTCTTAGTACAACTTTTTTAAAAGTTTATTTGCAGCGAACATTAGCTTTTATAATTTAAAAGTTAACTATAAATCATGGATTAATAGTGAAGTCTAGTAAATACATTTTTAGAGACTTGAAACTATTTTTTAAAGTGAAAACACGTCACCTGTCATGAGTAACATAATTTAGATACGTTTCGTTAAATGTACTACTAAGGTCACAGAATTATGTCTCTTATTTAAGTTGTAAAATCATTCTTGATGAAGTTTAACTTTTCCTTCAAATTTTAGAAATAACCATCACTATTTTAAAAAAATCTGAAAAAAGGGAAAAGGTTGGCAAGTTTCAGCTAAGTATTTCTTAATGCACATGCTCAATTAAAAATATTCCTCTTTGAAAACCTTACAGACGTACGAAAAAAAAACAGTGAAAATGCTCGCATTGCCATCAGGACTTGACCTTTTCTTTCCCAGCCCACTTATATTCGGGGTGTGCGGATGTGGAGTTATTTTAGTAAGATTTCAACGCGTTCCTTGGATTCTTCTTTCAGACTACTCACTTAGAAGCCAGTGATTCAAGTCCTGGAAATCATTTAATAACATTACTGATTTCTGCTCTTGGGTTAAATATAACTTTCTAGCTTAGCAACATTTTTCTCCCTGAGAGAGAGAGAGAGGGGAGAGGAGGTTTCACTCGCGAGGGAAAAGGAGGCGTCCGTGCACGCCGGTGGGGCGAGCCTGCGCTCCCGCATCCCCGGGTGCCCGGAGCATCCCGGGCGCCGCCGGGCAGCACCCTCGGCCCCGGGGAATCGCGGTGCCCGGCCCGCGGCGAGCGCGGAGGGGCCGGGACTGCGCCCGCCTCTCCCGCTGGTTGGTCGAAGGAGCCAGAAATCCGCGCGAGGCAGCCCCGCTCACTTCCCCCCCGGCGGCGGGCGGCGAGGCATGGCCAGCCCGGAGAGTAGGCTAACTCCAGCGGCAGCTCGGCCGAATAAATGGGTCTGGCCGGGCGCGGGCAGGAAGGTGGGCAGGCGGGGCGCCGTCACCCGCGGGGAGGAGGCGGCGTGACGCCGGGGTCGGTGGCCCAATTCTCGACTCGCTCGGGAAGATGGCTCCAAGGCTAACTGGTCGGCGGCGGCCACACACCGCCCTCTGGGCGCCCGAGGATCCCCGCCCGCCGCCCGGAGGCCGTTGGCGGCGTGGGGCCAGCCCGGCGCGACCCCCGGCCGGCGCCGCGGGGCTGGAGCGGCGGGTCTCCCCGCACGGCCCGCCCGCCAGACAAAGCTGACAACATGGCTACCTCCGCTCGAACAAGTTCCTCGCAAGTTGAGCCGCGGCAGGCGCCCCCGGCCGCCGCCGAACGCCGCGCGCGCCTCGGCGCAGTCGTCCATCAACTTCAAGTTTCCCTCCGCAGCGCCGAGCCCGCAGCCCGCTCGGCGCCGAGCCCCGGCCGCCCGCACGAGGCCGGGCCCGGGAAACTTTCAACGTCTGCAGCCCGCAACTGACAGCCCGGCGGCGGGCGAGCGCTCGACTCACCTTCAGACAGGTCCTCGATGCACTCGAAGGTGATCTCGAACTGGAACGGGTTGTAGAAAGGAGAAGGGTTATCCAGCACCACTACATTGTTCACCTGAACCTTTGCCATATTTTGAAAAAAAAAAAAAAAAACCAAAACAGAAAAAAGCCCCACACAAACAATGGGAACGAGGGCTTGTTGCGGCACAATAAAGTCCAGCGCGCGGCCGCTCGGGAAAGCGCAGACCCCCGCCCCGGCGCCGGCCCGACGTCGTGCAGCGGCGACTTGAGAAACTTTTTTTTTCTCCTTCCCCTCTTTTTATTTACACGGGAACACTCCACAGTGTTTTTGCAGCTTTCCTATTTCACTAAACTACAGCCCATTCTGCTCTGATAACTAGCAGCGTTGCCCGCGATTGGCTGCACCCGAGCTCTGACCCTCCTCCTCCAGTGAGGTCCTCGGCGGCGAGCAAGATGGGCTCCCGCTCCCGGAATGGACTCGGAAACTTTAACTGCGGCTCCACCTGCTGGTGTGGATTAGGACAAAGGCGGAGAACAAAGTGAGTGGAATACGGGCTGGGAGGCCCGCGCGGAGGCCGTCGCCGCCGCCGGCGGGGGGAGGGGTCGGCGCAAGCTCCGCCCCCGGCCCGGCGGCTCCCGCGCCTCACGTCGGGCGTGGCCGGGGCGGGGCGTGTGAGGTGTGAGCGCGGGCCGCGGGTGGGAGGCGTGGCCGCGGCGGGAGGGCGCGATTCCGGGCGGCCCCCGCCCTCCGGCATGCTTCTTGGGGTTTTTTGTTTGTTTGTTTGTTTGGGGGCCTTTTCTTTTTTTTTTTCTAAAGCTTCTTTTAACATCTGTCCAACGGTTATGCGGGTTTTTTAAAATAATTTTTAACTGAATTTAGTAGATTCAGTTAGCTGCCTGCACTCTGGTTCGGCAGTGTACCGGTACTGACTGGAATGAGAGGTTGCAGTGGAAATAAATTTCAATTTATAGACCGATGCCAGCTTGAAAGAGCAAAGCCATTTTGGAAATCCCGTTCTTGGTCAGCATCTGCGTCTGGGTACGACAGCGCCGTTAGATACTCAAAATGAAGGGGTAATAGATGCTTTTTTTTCCACGCACTTCGCGTGGAACATCTTTATAGGTACTATTGGAACTATACCTGGCTAGTCTTCCTCCCATTTCAACTTGGAAGCCCGTAGAATAAGAAAGATTACTTAGAGTTGTGGTCGGTAACGCCCCAGGTTTTTGCCATTTGGTGGGTATAGCGGAACATGAAAGGAGAAAATGGAAGTGTCAGACCAAAGGGCAATAGATGATGAGATGAAGGGAGAAGGAGTGTAGAGAACACAAGGGGCATACCAAGACCTTTGATTTTTTTTCAAAAATATGACCCGAACCGTTTGTAAATTTAAAGAGCTGTCGGGAAAGAGCTTTTAGCAAAATTGTGACACCACAAACAAGTTCTGAGGAACCTTTGCTTGCTTGAAAACCGATTCCGGTCTGTATTAAGAAAATGGATTCATTCTGCTGTTGATGCTCACTGTGGGGAAAGAGTTTTAGCAAATTTGTGAGTTTATTGAACTGTTTAAATTCTAAGAGTAGTGTAAAGGTTTCTTTTAGTATTTTCTATTCACAAAGTGTTTTTTCCTGGTAAGTTCTGTGAATGAAACCAAGGAAGTTGTCTGATTGGGGAGAAATTTAGCTCCCCCCCCAAAAAAAAAGACGTATCATTTATGCTGAAAGGATTTTTCTAGCATAGTGCCTGGAATCCTAATTTGCCTTTCTTTGGATATTGTTCATACCTTAAGTGGGCTGCTCTTGATGAACCTTTCTTGATCTGCTGATCCTTTGAAAGTTAATGGGCTGTAGTTTGTGTTAATTAAAGCAAATCCAAATGTCAGCCACCAATGGTAAGCTCAGGTTGCACGATATTAAACAATCTAATAGGACCTAGCAGAAACGGTTTTCATAAGCCCAGATATTTGTGTGCATTAAAGCGTTAGTCATAGAGATGATAAGGTAGTACAGTAGGTAAGGTTCTTGCTTTTCTGGCAATCAACCTGTATTCGATCCCCCAGGAGCACCTCCAGGTGTAATCTCTGAGCATAGTTTAGAGTGAACGCAGCAGGGTATTCCCCCAAACCCAAAATTAATAAAGTGTTAATCATTCATGGTGATAAGTACAGATAAACTATATGCACTGTTGGCCCTTATAGTGATGGGCCTAATTACAAAAATAAAATGTAAATTGCTGCAGACTATAACACAGGATATATAAATGACCAGTTGAAGATTAAAACAAGATGCCCTTGAGAATGTTGTATCTAGTTTTCTGATTATTTGATTATTTCAGGTACCCTTTTATTGGAGGGGGGGTCCTAATTAGTGTTCAAGGAACTTGGGGCCCACTCCCAGTTCAATGTGAAGCCCAGTGACACTAGACCACCCTGACAGTACTCTGGGGCCTCACCATCACACCATGCTAGGGAGCCTTCAGGGCAACACAAGGTGATGCTTGGGAGGATATATGTATAGTTTATGTGATACTTTGGATTTAATCCAGGTCCATGCTAAAGACACACTAACCCCTGTAATACCTCCCAGGTCTTATTGTATGCCCTCTTATTCACTTGCTTTATAAAAGTGTCACCATATACTTAGTGAAATGAAGATCATTTTACCTTCTGCCCTTTAATTGGGGTTTGGGGGGTGGGAGGGATATTGGGATCATTGGTGGTGGAGAATGGAAACTGGTGGAAGGATGGGTACTTGATCATTGTATAACTGAAACCCAAGCACAAAAATTTGTAAGTCTAGAACTGTAACTCATGGTGTTTCACTAATAAAAAATTTTTAAAAATATGTCATTATAGAGTGAATCTTGTCGTAAAATTTGGTTTGGGTAGATATGTAATCTCAAGTACTGTAAAGGTCTACCTGCATACTGTTGATTTGGCTTCTTTAAAATGTTTTCTTTAGGCATGCTTGCTTTTTCAAGCCCATGTTACCTCTTAAACACATGTTTTTTCTTTCCCCCACTCCCCCCCCCCCCCCGGAGAAGCCCATGTTTTCTGTTGAACACGTGGCTCTCCCTTTCCTTCTCCCCAGCTCTCTAAATTTCTTTTACTATAAACTATTTTGCTTCACAATAAAAAGAAGAGCAAAATGTTTTGTTTAGCATGTCATATACAACAGTACTTGGGGAAGCTCTAATAGTTCATTGGAAGTAAGATTTGGTGCCAGGCCTGTCATAACTGCTTCTCCATCTTAGAACTTCCATCCTTCAGAAACATAAAGGAGCCTTTGAGTAGCTGAAGAGGTAGTACAGTTGGTAGGGTGCTTACTTTGCACACAGCTGACCGGGCATTGTTCATGGTCCCCTGTCAGGAGTGATTCTTGAGTGCAGAGTCAGGAAATCTGGAGGAGGGCATCGTGTGGCCCAAAAACCAAAAGAAAATGAGCCTTTGAGCACTCTCCCCAATATTTTCCTCTCTAGTAACAATACTCTATAGGAAGAGATTCCTCAGATGTGCTTTGTCATATTTCTAAGTTAATTTGTAGTGAAAGATACTATGAAAGTTTTTCTCTGGTTTCAGAGGCAATCTAGAGGCGAACAAACTGGTGATTCTCAAACTGACCATATTTCAAAACAGGGGTCATCATAAATGTCTTCATTGGTTAAGTACTTGAGGGGACCCACATTATGCATGGTAGGCTCTAAGGTATATAACCCCCATATTGCTTCTTTCTGTGCAGATTATTTGACAGGGATTTGGCAATTGGAAAGGCTCAATAGCTAAAAGATGTTTGGGTTCATAGGAGCAATGTCAAATTTTTGCCTAGGACAAAGATAAGTAAACGTAGTAGCTATTATTATGGGCAGAATAATTTCCCCTCTTGCCCTAAATTCATAGTTAATCTTCAGTACTTCAAAAAGTGACTTAACTTAGTGATAGGACCTTTAAAGAAATAATGAATTTAAAATGAGTCCCTTAGGGTGGGACCTAATCCAGGAAAAAGTTGAATATACAAAAAGACACATAAAGGGCCAGAGCCGTAGTACAGCAGAGAGGGAGAGGGCGTTTGCCTTGCACACGGCCGACCCGGGTTCAATCCCTGACATCCCATATAGTTCCCCCAAGTACCGCCAGGAGTGATTTCTGAGTGCAAAGCCAGAAGTAACCCTTGAGCATTGCCAGATGTGACCCAAGAAGCCAAAGAAAGAGAAAAAGACTTACAGGAAAGGCCATGTAAAGACACAAGGAAGAAGCAGATGCAAACCAAAGAGAGAGGTCTCAAAAGAAACCAACCCTTGGGGCCAGAGCAGGCAGGGTGTTTGCCTTGCACACTGCTAACCCCCGTTCAATCCCCTGCATCTCCTATGGTCACCAAGGCACCTGAGTGCATAACTGGGAGTTACCACTCCCCAAAAGTGAAACCAACCCTGCTGATACCTCTCTACCTCAAGCCTTCAGAGTTGTACTAAAAGAAATTTCTGTGTTTAAGCCATCCAGTCTGAGAGTTTGTTATGGTGTCCCAGCGAGCTAATTATAGCTAAGTCCTCTGAAAATTATTTCTTTTAGGGAAAAGTGATAGAGCTTGGGGGTAGAGCACTTGCTTTGCATATGAGTTTTGGGGTTTGGTTTTCAGCATCGGGGAAAAAAAGAGGAAAAAATTTAAGTTTGTTTTATAATCTAAGCTCATTTAATCTATTACTGGTATAAAGGACAGTGTGTAGTGGTCATCTGATCATGGCAGTAGGTGGTACAATAGTGTGGGGTGTTGAGCCATCAGTATTCTTCAGAAGAATAAAGTACAACTTAAATTCTTAAGAGCCAAGATATAACCTGTTTCTGTAATCCAAAGACCTCTACAGAGAGTATCTAAAATCTTAAACTTGATGTTAAATTGAAGTAAGGTCACAAAAAAGCAAGATGAAAAGAATGAATTAAAATAAACTACAATTAAATTGAATTGAAATATACTGAATTAAAATGTGTTAGAATTAAGAATTAAATCAAGTCTCATTCCTTGCTTGCTGCAGAAGTTACCATAGGAATGAAAGCACTAACTCTTGTCTTTGTTCCAATCCTAGATTCCACTTAGGCATAATTTCATTATTACTGTTGAAGTCACTTTGTAGAGACATTTGCATTTATTGTCCTCATCTTAAAAAGAAATTCTCATGGAAGTCTTGTCTAATATGATCTTTAATTAGTTCAAAGCATTTACTATTAATTACAAGATGTAAAAATTTAATGATGAAAAGTAAAATTTTCTGTATAAATATAGAATTTACAGATATGCTGCAGTGTACAGATGTTTCTTAGAGGAATAGTGCAATAACAATTTTAATGCTATCTCGGAGAACTTATTATGTGGAATTATTGTGCTAGATTTTGTGGAATACTAAAAATATGAATAGATTTTATCCTCAAAAATCTTATGATCTCAGGCCAAGGAGATAACTAAAAGCTGGAGCACATGCATTGCATAAGAAGCTGATGGTTTGTTCCCCACATGGTTTCTGGAGCACTAAAGGACGAGCCT